GCTGAGGTACAACATCAAAATAAGGTGTTGCTGTCCAAAATCATTTGGAGCACTGTGTATGCCATTTGATAATGAGACCCAAAGGAAAGTGTGTTTAGAGCAGTGTGTTTTGCCAATGAAGCGTCGGAAAATATCCCAGCCGTTCCATTTATCACTTAACCAAACAACAAGTTAAATCTGCATGGTAGCCTACTTTCCCTCTGCGATACTACCTCCTCCAGGCATGAAAAGTCCCCTGACAGCATTCAAAATTGTACACATTACAAACCCACTTAGTTCCTGGAATCATATTTTGGATAGGGAGACATCACTATGTAACACACACAAAGACCTGCTTTACCTTATTTTTCAGGCTAAAATATGTAAAGTCGATACCTGGTTGGTACACTATACTGTCATCATCTCCCTCTGGTAAATGCCACAAGGAATAATCAGTGTGGACTTTGCGAGACGAAAAGGCCGGATTCGAGGGTGTCTTTTTAAAAGCCTTGGTGTGTAATTGAGTAGTGACTCGCTTTGATGGTAATGGTGTTCAAGCAAGCAAAGGGGAATGCCAAAAAAAGGATAGAGGATAAAGGACAACACACTACTACACACTGTGGGCTAAACTTTCATCAATGCATCGTATAAAGAACATGCATGCAGGGAGTCATCAGCAAGACGACAGGACGTCGGTTGGACGCGATGCTTCACAGCAGGTGTTGGCGCCACTAGGCGTCACCCAGGCAGATCAGAATGAGCCTGGTTCTCCCTCCAAGAAGCCCTCCAGTCCTCAGAGCATCCCCGTCCAAAACACCAAGCTCTGATAGGGGTTCAACCCGACCAACAAACCTCCCACCCCAGGCCACCATTAGTTCAATCTTGGCAATAAAGCCAGTATATTGGAATAAACCATCATTGCAAGCCTATCAAGGTCCTGACTGCTCTTACCTTGCATCGACGTGTACTCTGCTTTGCTATTTTATGTTGACCTGCTCCTGAAAACCCCAGATTGAAAGACTTGGATAAGATCTTTTAATATTGGTATTAAGTATTGTTTCTTTCTCAAACCCTAACCCTTACATTTAATTTTCATTTCATTTCATTTTTATTTGTTCCGTTCATGGTATGCACAACTTAATGTATAACAATTATTTGCAAAACATGTCTCTATAAACACACCATACCCGAAAAGGAGCAGGGAGAAGAAAATTATCTTATATTACCTGCCCCTTTAAGTTGACCCAGGTAGGGCACCTTAGCGGACAATTATCTGTGTTACTGTACTCCAAGTATTCTGCAGTACAACTAGGGTTAGGGTTAGTTAGGGTACGTTTTTCACAAAAAGTTCATGGAACAGTCTCAATAGTCAATGTAACATGCTCCACAATTGTTCATATGACTTTAAATCTACAGTAACATACTAGCATTGTACAGTGTTTCTTTATTACAGTTATATGTAGATGTATACTGATTTATTCTGTACTTCTTTTGATATCTTAAGTGCATTTTAAAGAGTGTGATTTTCAAACTGCAACATTAAACTCTTATTTACATAATTAACAGTGTCTTAACAAGCTGTAGGAGGTGAACGTCTCCGTCGCCAAGCATTGATTTGGCCGGCTAGAATGACAACTGTTGCCAACCCGGATGATTAACATTCATTCGGAGTTGGCCTAACAACTGGAGGAAATTCTCGGGTTGTCTGGTTTTATATATGCAGACGAGAGAGCTGTGAGGCAAAGATACGGCATGAGCTGAAAGGGACAGGCTCACATCGTTTTTCTGAAATCAACCTGAAGTTCGTTATTGTATGTTGGCTCCTCACTTGGCCGGCTTATCCACACAGTCAGCAGTTGGATATGCAGCGGATATGTGACACCCCGATCATGGAGGCTATTAAGGTACTTCAGAACCATTAGCGCTCCATTGCCGCAATTTGCGTCATAACTCATACTTCTCGGAGTCATAACTCAGTCACATCTGAACACATAGACCTTAGACACACAGTTTTTAGTGTGACTTACAATCTCCCGGGATATCATTATCGACAGTGTCCATCGCCAATAAATGTCACTTAGAAATCATAGAGTTAAGACACTGCTTATTGCTGCAGAACCTGCTCGAGAATTATTTCTAAAATGATCATCTTCCATTTTGATAGATTTTCAGAGAGTAAGTTAGTTATATACCATCATGAAACAAGTATATGTAACGTTCAGATAACACACTTTGTAAAAAAGGAATAAAAAGGACTTTTAATTGATTATATCCAAATAACTTCTGGTACATTTAGGTAAACTATTACTATATGGACTAAAATGTATCAAACTAACCCTAAACCTAACCCTAGCCCTAACCGTCACTCTTTTCGAAAATGAAAAAAGTCAAGTCTACTAAGTGGACTATTCTGACCAATGGTCTTACCAACAAGCAACTGCATTGTCATATCCTGTTTAATTCATGTGGAAAATATGTGTATTATAAAAACACTATTAAGACCACAACTACAACCCTTGAGTTTGATTTATTGAAAATAAATTAACAATTTTAATTTGCAATGATCTTGCTGCTCAGAAAAAAAAAACACAATGAGATCTTTCATTCTAATCGACCAGCCCCCCCGTTCAATAATTATTACTTCTCCCTGAAAGACGTGATATATCTCTTGTTATCTTAATTTCAGTAATGGAAAAATAAAGTTATCTTTCCCGTCAGCCCTTCTAAAAATCAGACCGAAATGTAATTGTACAAAAGCAATATTGTGTCAACTATTTCCACTTTAATTGGAAAAGGGTCAGCAATTATCCTGGTAGAGAGACGTAGCTTGCTTAGATGAGAAACGGCAGAAAAGATTACATTAAATAAAGGATGACACTGGCCGTCAAGGCCGCTTGCTTTCTCTATTCATTCAAAGGAGGGCTAACTGGCATGTCCTTTTCAAGGTAATAAAGGACCAATTAGGAAGGTTGACAAAAAGGTATTGGCCAATGAGACACATCAGTGTATCCAACAGCAGAGAGGCTAGAGCTGCTCAGCCTCTTTCTGAACCACTAAAAGAATGATTTACAATTTAATGTTCAATGAGGACAATTATGTCCAATAATTTAACTCGATTATAAAAACTTCATGGTGAGCAGCGTCCATTATCTAAATGACTAATTTGGTTTAAATTGTGTTGACTCTAATGCAACAGTACACTGGGTTCTGAAATAATTCAATTTAATATATCAACACTACACAGGAAATATTGGTGAGTATTTTTTTCCAGAGTAATTACTATTTTGCTCTGAAATAGTGATATTTAATCATTTTGGAGTGTATTTATTACTCATAGCTTCTAGAGTGCGATCAAAAATGCAGAGTCAATTCTATTGGAGTTAAACCATGACCACGCTGTAACGGAGGTGATCTCTGGGGCCATTGATCTCGGTCTCCGTTACGGATTATATAGCTTCATTATTGGCGAAGTATATTCATTTGTTCCACGCTAAAACATTGCACAGGAAGCATGTGATTATATGTCATTTATGCATATATTTGTCACAATCTGTCTATGTTTTAGTTTGTCTGTCTCTGTTTCCTGTTGTAGTTTGAAAAGTGTTCCCCCTCCCGTCTTGTCTGTTGCTGGTGATTGCGTTCACCTGGTGCCCTGTGTTTTCTCCTCCCTCCTCACCTGTGTCTTGTTGGTTTGATTAGTCCTGTGTGTATTTAGGTTCTGTTTTCCTGTTAGTGTGTGTGTGTGAGGTCCTGGTGGCTGGTGACTGTGTTCACGTGAGACAGTCATATTGAGGCTGTGTATCCTGTACCACAAAGAGGAATACATGCCCACACCGGGTTGTATTTGAACTCTCTGCCTCTGCCTCCTTGCTTGGTCGGGCCGCTCAATGGTCAGCTTCACACACGCCCACTCATGTTCCTTAAGCACTTTGGTTTATTGACCTTTTTTATTGTAAAGATCATTATGGTTCATTTATTCTATTCTGAGTAAAATTACCTTCTAGTTGGAGTGAAATTACGTTCGATTGGGAGTAAAATTACCTTCTATTGGGAGTAAAATGGCAGTAGAGTTGTTTTTAATATACACTACATAGAGTAAACCATTAAGCAGAGTCAAATCTAAGCACATAATAGAGTAAAATGAACTCTAAAAATACAACTCTGAACAAAGAGTACATTTTACTCTATATAGGTTGGGACCAAATGTTATATTTTTAGAGTAAAATTTTCTTCAATTTGAGTCCATTTTACTCAGAGAAATGTACTGTGTATGGTCACGCAGCAACACAGGAGGAAGACCTTTTTCATATATCTTTTCCACACATTGACTTCATGATCACATACAGTGAAATTAAGTTAAATGCTATCAAAGAGTCATTTGAGAAGCCAATTAGGTTGGCCTGAATGGAGTTGCTGTAGAAATATATAATAATATATTCCTAGAGATGTGAATGTACACGCTGGAGTTGGAAAAAGAAGCCGATGTATCATTGCAGAGGTGAGAGGAATCCATGAGTGAATGTTTGATGAGGCACTTTGCAGCCCGGCAGGACTCTTCTCTGCTTGAATGTGAAATCCTGAGAGGACCTTCGGGTCAAAAAGGTCAGAGAAGTCTTCGGCTGCCTGGCGCAAAAATCAACGCTGCATGTGTTTATGCTCTTATGCAGCCTGGTGTTTGTTTTCGCATAGCGTTCTCCATATAATGAGTACTAGAAAGTTAACACAAGCAGAACTACTTCTAAGTTGATGCTGCATACGTCTAATGAGCAAAAGCCTTATCAATCTGGTACTCCAAGCTGGGTTAAACAAACAGAAATTATCATTTGGCAAACTCCAACATGGTGAGAGTATGAATGTGTGATGCTGCCGGGGTGGGAGGGAAAACACACAATCACCGTGCATTTGTGGGCATACAGAAAGAGCAGGCTGTCAACATACAGTCATCTCCTTCTATTATGTTTGGCTGCCTGTCTATTGTCGCTTCTCATTCATTCGCTGTGGGTGGCTGCTGAGTAACTCACTCTGGGTGAAGCGTGGTGGGTTGTCGTTGACGTCAGTGAGCCTGACAGTGACGGTGGTGGTCCCAGATAATCCGCCCAGGTGGCCCCCCATGTCTTTGGCCTGGAGCAGAACCAGGTACTGGTCCTGGGTCTCCCTGTCCATGTCCGGTACGGCCGTACGCAGGATGCCTGGTGGAAGAACACACACAAACGTGAGCATCACGGTGACCATGATGAAGCATTTCGAGCAAAGGGAAATAAACGCTTTCCTCTGGCGAAACGGCCCCCAAATGACCATAATATATCTGTGGGGGACAGAATGTTTTTTTGATCAATATTTATGACTCTATGATAACCAGGCGCTGAACCTGCTGGCTTCCAATGTACACTCTGTGGCCTGTGCTCTGTTTTGGACCAAAAGCTGCACATTGGGATTTCATCCAGCCCTACTCTCATTGTTGATGGAATATCCTCTACGGTAGCAAGAATGGTAACACAACTTATTTATATCATGATTATCTCTTGACTAAGCCTTTGTAGGTGTCACTTTCTAATTAAGCATTCTAAAGGTTTACAAGTTGTAACTAATGACCTTATTTATGGTTGATAAATCATCTTGTGCTTTTTGTGCTTTTCCCTTTCCTGTAGTGTGTTAAATATGTGTTTGTGCATGTAAATGGTCTGCAAAGGCTAAAATCTCAAAGTTCTTCTCTTCCACACACTCCCCCCCTTTTTTTATTTTAAAGTAAATTCAGATTGAACATAGTAAAAAAATGTAAATTATAATGTCCGTCCAAAAAAAAAAAAATTACTTATAGTGAAAGTGATGATACTTATACCCCTAGGATCTGTGGAATCTCCGTTTGCTAATCGATATCTTGTTTGTGCAGATCCGATATGTAATCAGGGTATTTATACCTAGAGTTCTGTGCTAAGTGTGTTAGCATTTTTTCGCTCAGGGCTCATTTAGACGCTTCTTGTGAGACTTGTGTTTTGTTTCGGTAAAAATGGTTCGTATCGTCAGTTAGCTGAGTTTATTCCCGTTAATCGGGTATGACACATTAATAGGTTTTTAAATGTTAAGAAGCCCTGAGACACAGTTTGGTGAAGAAAAAAAAACCCGGAGGCCCCCGCCAGATGACCAATCACAACAGAGCCTGCCAGCAGACTGGGCTCTGGTTTCAGACAGAGGGTGAAAAGAACATACGTATGAGAAAAAGAATGAGTTTTTTTAACATTAATAAAAGCACTGTACACTACATTGTTAAATAGTCAACTAGCTGTATTTATAGGCAACCGAAATGCCTGCTGGACCTAAAGTTACTAATACAAATGACATCCACAAAGCATCTCAGAGGACATATGATGCTCATTTTCAGGTTCATATTTGTATTTTGTGCCTCTATTGTGACATGTCTCCCTGCTTTAATGACCTACTAACACCTTATGGCTAAAGTCCTGTGAAAAACACCTGACCTTTTTCAGAGGCCACTGGATAAACTGTGTTCCAGTCGTAAAACAGCACAGCCAATTGACTTCAACTACAGTAGATGACCTATAAAATGGTGGACTGGAGTCTTAACAGACACAGTGACCTTTTATGAATGGCTTATTAACATGTTTAACAGCAGATCATTGCTTATTATGAACTAAGAAAGCCATGAACCCCATTAGAGGCTTCATTGAGACTACAGCTATATTAGTAAGTCATCAATAAAAGGTCACAGGTTTCTTGCTTTACAATAAGGCCATATAGCCTGCAGTTTGAAATGAAAAATGTAATAAGTTGTTATTTCATGGAGGTTGGTCCAGATGCTCTGCAGCTCTTCTGGTAAGGGTAACTTGTAAAACGATTCATTTGAGGGCTCTCGGATGATGAAAGAGGTACAAGACGAACTAAGTCAGGCTGCAGCAAAATGTAGTTTCTTACAAACGGGCAATCCAAAGGTTTCAAGGGAAATATCACTCTAATTTTCAGGTTCATACTTGTATTTTGGGTTTCTCTTAGAACATGTTTAGATTCTTTAATTATAAAAAAGATACTCATACTGTCTGAGTCTGCCTGTCTCCACTCTCTGAAAGGCGCCGCATTAACTTGTCTTTAGGCCCCATTGCGAAAAAGCCAAGTCTGCTCTGTTTGGCCTGCATGTGACAAATGTGTGTTTTTTGACATACTCTTTTTTTCAATGATTGTTGGATGCCTGGGTGTTGAAAGATCTGCCCAGCTTTAACACCCCCAAATAATTTGATTGTTACCCTTTAAAGTGCGTTCCAAAGCCTGGTGCTGCTGGATAAGGTTCTTGTTGTGGCACCAAGGTACCATGTTAAAGCAAAACTAATGTTCGGGGGTTGAGGTTACCCTCAAGTAGAATATGTGGGGTTGAATATCTATCCGCCTAATCTGTAGAATACAATATCCGTAGAACCCTCAAGGTTGATTCGAAAAACCGTATCTTGATGAAACCCTTTGAGAATAAAGGTAGAATCCCGTAGGGATTTTTGTTAGCACCCGGTTCTGGTTTGAGACCTCCAAGGAGGTTCTGGGTGAAACAGATGGTTCAAGGTATAACCATTTTATATTAGATTATTTATATTTGATATATATAGAAAAAAACGTATTTCAGTTTGTGGAATGTGGGCACTCAAGATACCCATGATTGAAGAACTTAAAAAGTGTTTTCTAAATCATATTTTTCCGTTTAAACTTCCAAATATCAATGTTGTATCCGCCTCAAAAATACAGTTTTACTCAAGCTATAATTACTCATATGAAGCAACAATAAATCATTTAGTAGCCATGAGTAAATCCATTAGTCACAACTTGTAACCCTTTCCAAACGATGCCTTATGATTAGACAAGTAAGATGTGCAATAAACCTGTCAGTGTGGTTGGTTCCTCACTAATTATCAATGGTAATGGTCTCTGCTGTGTAAAAATCCAATAGCGTCAGATATAGAAATGAAAATGCTTTCATTCTAATTGACAGATCAAGTTCTTCTTAGACCTCTTGGGCTTTCCAAGCCCTTTCAAACCTATTTGACAATGTCAAAGCGCCTTGTCATCAGGCTGAAGACATGAGTGCTGTTCCTGACAATCTGACAGCTTTTTTCTGAGACACCCAGTTTCCATCTGACAGCTACGATACATTACTTAATGTCCCGTTAAAGGCACACACACACATATAAACACAGATATGTGAAGAAGCTCATATGGGAAAAATAAATCACCCATCGCTGACAGCCAGACATGCTGACGGAGCGTAAAATCTCGTTCTGCATCTCACAACAGCACACCGAGACACATCAATACATTCGACATCGATCACCTGCTCTGTGTAAATGACCTCATTCAGCTACATATGATTGGATGTCCCACATCAAGTGCTGGCTTCTCTTGCCAAACATCTGCCAAACAAACAAAGGCCCGGATGACTCAGCTCAAGGTGAATCACATTCAACGTGGGCGTTTTTGTAATGCTAACAAACATCAGGAGCTTGTGTAGATTGCGGGCAGAATTTGTAAGCAAACCAACCGAATATACGGGTAAATGTGCTCGCCTCGGAGGGTACGCTTTGAAAAAGACCTTTGGTGATGAAGCCGATGGGCATCAGGGTGATAGAAGATAGAGAGCGAAAAAGAAGAGAGCAGACACGATCAGAATACTAAGGCACAGTGTCACGGCTAATACACACTCGACAGAATTAGGTTTATATTCGCCAATTAGCATTTCAAAAAGCAGCCGCAGCTTTCTTGGCTTGTCGCAGAGGTCTTCACGTGTCAAAGCAATCAGTTACTAAACATTGACATTCAATGAGCAGAACACAAGTATCGGCCACCTGTGACCCTTGTGGCTTCAAAATAAACGCTCACATGCAGGCTCGAACTCCCACATTCAGACGAAAGAACGACTCCAGCTGCCTCGACGTGAGCTAAATGCTTATACAGTACGTGGGCTGTCAATCAAAGCGGCATCTGAAGCGTCAGACAGTTAGAGCTCCATTTCTGAGGCAAGAGAGCCATGATTTCCCTCTAAGGTACGGTGCTAAAAAAAAGTAATCATAATAAAATAAAATATGAAAATAAGTAAAAGCGCCCTTTAAAACTTTGTGCCCTGGGGTGACTCCCTGGTAAGCGGAGGCATATCGAGACAGGCGCGCGGCACACAGGTTCTTTGAGCCTCCTGTAATCTCGTCTAATAGGAAGAGTTCACAAACCCTCGCTGACATCTCTCTTTGAACACATGTCTTTTTGTTTTTGCCTCATCCAGAAATAATAACATTAGGCTGCTGCTGCTGCTGCTCTGTTGTGTTGCATTCACACAGGCCCTGGCAGCATGAATACATTTCTGCCTACTCATACTGGAGGGAACCAGATAGGGGGGGGGGGGGGGGCACTGGCAGAGGGGGAGATACATGTGTGTGCGAGACAGTGTGTGTGGGAGACAGTGTGTGTGTGAGACAGTGTGTGTGCATTTGAGACCAGGGTGGTTGAGGCGGAGGGAAAAGGGAAGTGGGAAAGATGGATGACTAAGTGTGACAAGAGAACGAGGGATGCACAAGGGGGGAAAGAGTAAGTTTGAGTGTGTGTGTGTGTGTGTGTGTGTGTGTGTGTGTGTGTGTGTGTGTGTGTGTGTGTGTGTGTGTGTGTGTGTGTGTGTGTGTCACTGTGAGTGTGTTCACAACTGAGGCCTTGAATGTGCTTGTTTGCACACACAGCAGGCGTGTTTGCAATTCGACATCTTGACTATATTTGCTTTTCTGCCGCTTGTGTGTATTTCAAATTTTCTTTTGTATTTCTTCATGTTTTTTTTATCCAACAATGGGAACACACACACACACACACACACACACACACACACACAAACACAACTCCACAAATGTATAAACACACTCACCTGTCTGGGGATCGACAGAGAAGTGCTGTTGGCCTTGCACCAGTGTGTACACTAGCCTGGCGCTGTTCCCGTAGGTTGGGTCATCAGCATCTGTCGCTGTCACCTGGATTATAGATGTGCCTGCGGGGAGAAGAGGGGGGGGGGGGGGGGGGGGGGCATGAAGCAAGAAAGGAGGAAAGGAAGGAAGGATGGAGTTAGAACTAGGCGGACAGAATTTTTAGCATTTTCTGAGCATAAGAAAGCTTTTTTCTGAATATAACTTCCACTCTCACTCCTTCTTTTTCAATCTCCCTCCAATGGCAGTGTGACAAATACTTTATTCGCCCCCCCCCCCCGCGCGCATCCTCTCCCTGGTGCCCACCCCCCTCGATTCCCTCAGTCTCACTTCATTTCTCTTCATCTCCGTCTCCAATTCCTTTCAGGCTGCCTCTCTCAATAGGACCGTCTGTCTCTAGGACGGACTTCTTCTCCCCTAAATCTTTCTTCTACGGCTCATAGAGTGTCAATTTGGCAGCGACATTTTTTGAATTTGTTGGAAAAACCATATAGAAACTGTAAACACATTTCATATGTCGTGTATTCATATAGTATGTCTATATTTATGCAAGGGAAGGGAGACAGACATTTCCCCAGTGGGACACGAGCCAGACGAGATAGCAGGAAGAAGTGGATCTGTGGGAGCAGCTGCTACTTTATCCCTAATCAAAGCCATGACAGTATCACTACGGGGAAGATAGGTGGAGTGTGTGTGTGTGTGTGTGTGTGTGTGTGTGTGTGTGTGTGTGTGTTTCTGTTTATGTGTGTTTGTGTATGTGCGTGTACAGAAAGCAGGGAGTGGGGTATAAGATCATCTGCTAGGGGATCCACTACGGGTAGTCAAGAATCAGATTGCTTATTGACAGATGGCAGATGTGAAATCGGCAAATATTGCATCAGAGAGCGATCCAGAAGGAGAACGAGAAAGTGTGTGTGTGTGTGTGTGTGTGTGTGTGTGTGTGTGTGTGTGTGTGTGAGAGAGAGAGCGTGACAACATGACTGATACGTTTTTTTTCTTTTCTTATAAAGATTATTAAAGTGAAATGTAAAAACGTTCCAATCTAACCTGCACAACTTTCTATTTTTCTTTTGTTTTTGTGTTGCTGACTTTTTTGAGAGCGAGAGAGTTATTTAAAATGTTTTCAATGTCATTATAGCACTTTGGCAATATTGTATTTGTTATCTAAATGCAAATAAAGCATATTGAACTACATTTAATTCAAATTGGGATTCAATGCAACATCATCGATTTAAGCAGGTTCTAAATAGTGACAAACGAAAAGAGAATACCAGTTAGTTTCATTGTGGATTCTATTTTTGTAGCGTTGCTCATCTGCATAGCACTTTCATTTTAATGAAGGGCCCTATTATTCAAATGTCCAGGTTCATATGTGTATAGTGTCTCTACTGTGACATGTCTCCATGCTTTAATGTTCAAAAAGCTCTTTATTTTTCTCATACTGCCTGTGCTGCAGCACCTCTTTTCACCCTCTGTCTGAAACCAGAGCCCAGTCTGCTCTGATTGGTTAGCTTGTAGACCAAACCCCCAAAAGCTTATAAGGGCCCCATTTAAAGATGATTTATTTACCAGTTGAGTCTTTATTATAGAGTAAGGGTTGAAAGGAGGAGATAACTTGCAATGTGATCATTTATAGAACAGATGCGAGTACATCTTCCATACACATCATTTTAGCGTAATTACCATTACCCACAGTTTCTGTTGATGATGATAACATACTGTATTGTTGTGAGATCTATGAGCACAACAACAACAATGCAATGAAATACGAAAAGAAGATCTTACATGATGTTGCAAGAAAGCCAGTAAGCATTAATCCTCCAAATTATGTTTATTTGCAACGTGAGCGCACCTGTAGTATAAAGTTGGTAATAAATTGTTGTAAATGTGTTTTGCAATTGTTTACCAATTGCAAAACACATTTACAACAATTAGTATAACTGAGACACAAGAGTTGGCACCTCATTTTTCTTTATGTGTGTTCTCAGATGTTCGGATATTATTTTTAATGCTTGCTCAGTTATGATTTCTTTCTTCATTTCATACATTTTCTAACCAGCTAAAAAAAATATCACGGCACTATCTACCTTCTTTTGTTATTTCAAAGGACTCCTTCACCACACCGGCTACGCTCAAAGACTGACACACACAGTGTCTGCTATTGAATCCCTTTATGTTTCACTATAGACATTGTAGATTAGTGCAGGGGGGGGGGGCTTAAGTACATATAAGTAGATAGAAATGTTTCTTCTGACAGCTGAGAAAAGTAATCAGACTTAGGGATCAAACAGTTTGGCTCTGAGGTTGACGCAACAAGTGCAAGGAGGAGGCAAACCGATTGGTATGCAGCCCGCCAGCCGTGCTACAGTATACAGCCAGCCGCACTGCATAAGGATCAAATACCCACAATGCCATGCATCCATCTGGAACGCACAAGGCATCTGTCCTCTTGGGGAAAAGGGTCATTGCCTAGTTTGTCCTCACACACACAAGTATCATCTTTACCCTCAACTTTTAAATGCAGATACACATCTGGCAAGATGTTCACACCCAGCCGAGTGAAACAGACACAAAACACTTTGCAGGCACGAATTTCAAGCTGGGAGCTGGCTCAGTTCCAGCGCACCTTGCATCAGTGTCTCATTTCCGTAGATGAGACGCCGACACCCCCCCCACCATCGCCCTTAAATGTCTCATGTAACGAGTGTTTGATAGGATCCTCACGGCAGCGCTATCTACTCAGTCGCGCGTGCTGCAAAGCGCCTTGGTAAATATTGAATCGTCAAGTAAATATTGAATCCATGATTGACTGAACAACTCAATCTGAAGACTGAGCCGCGCGATGAGGTGCAGACGCTCACGAGGAAGCTGATAAGATTACTAAATAGTGCTCGTCTTCATCGGCAGGCTGCCTGGCAAGTTCATTATTTTGATCTGAATTAAACAATGGAGTGCGGCAGGAACAACCTTTCAGAGGTAAATGACAAGGCCACATTTACTGGACTAACCTGTTTAGGGGGGAATTATTTAAAATAAAACCCCCTTTTTCCGGCCAATTGTAAAGTTTTCCTGAAAGCAATTCTGCCAGCTTTTAAAAGGTGAGAGTGTAAGCCATTTTCAAGGGGCAGAGCAGGGTTTAAATGGATTAGAGTACTTTTTGTACACACAAACTATTTCCTACAGGCACTCTGCAGTCATGCCCTGAATTGCAATCTCAGACAGTTATTGTCGCTCCAACATCTCACTGCAATATGAGTGCAAAAAGCCTCCCCTGTCTCTGCCTTTACCTCTCATTTCATTCCTATTCCAAGCACTCCTGTCGCACTGTACATGGTCTTACTTCAGTCAAGGCAATATTATCAGGTCACTGTGGCTGTGACATGCTCCGTCGCAGCTTTTCAAGCGAAACTGATTTATTTGAAAGGGGAAGATAAATATATAATCCTCTATAATTTCTGATTCAATTGGGAAGACGTCCATTTGGCACATTTGTAAGCAATCCAACCACAGTTTCTCTGCTTTTTCGAAGAATGACCACGCTCTGTTCTCATGAATATACTTGATTAAGTGTAACGTGGGTTTTGGGGGTAAACATTATCTGATACGAAGACACCGCCATATACTGTATCAATGTCAGCAGGAAACAGGACAATGTTTAATAGTGATTTCTAACCCTCACCTACAGTTGGTAGAACATGAAAATCTACATTACACCTGAGGCATCTGGAATCAACTCTTGATTGATTTGAATGTGTTTTCTCCAGAAACCCACTTTTTCTCTTCTTTTTTTTTTACTGCAGTAGCGGCTGAATGTATTCATTTTCTCAGAATCCACAAATCCTGCTACAGTAAAAAGGATTTCAGAGTGAATTAATTCAAATACAGAGTGCTCTATTTTCCTGAAAGTGGCTGCAAGCACAAACACGGGGTTCCAGTGCAGGTGGGTGTGACCAACTCATTCTTGAATTTGCAACGTGTGAAAGAGGCTTATTACTCGCAGGTGGAGCCAGGGTTGGTTGCAGATTCGGCCCAACCCGTCAGCTCCGTGTCCCGTTTAAACACGGCCAACTGTTTCCTAATGAGCCGAGAAAAACTGCTCTTCTCTGGAAAAAGAAACTATCCCAGAGCAGCAACATGGCTTGAATATGAATAGACGGCATCACTAATAACCAGATTATGCTGTTTCTATTTGTACCATTTGTACATTTTACACTCAAATGATTAAATATATTCAGTTAGTTATACACCATGCATTTACAATGAAATTACAAATACTGCAATGAAAACAATACTCTGTTTAGGGGCATAATTACATAACCCCATTATAATAACAATAACAAGAAGCATATTATTAACACAAGCCTGGGCCTAATTACGAACTCTGCATATCTTAAACTGTGGAGTGCATATGGAGGGGGGGGGGGGGGGGGGGGCACTGCATCATTCCCCCTGCTGTATGGTGTCTACAGGTATTTCATCAACAAAAAGGGGAAAATACCTCATACATCCTACGAGCAGCTGTGGTGACAGTGTTATTAAAAATCACCCATTTATCTAGCGCATTACAGATTCTGCCTGCATTGCATTTCAATTGTATTCCAATTTGCATTCGATTTTTTGGGTTTTAGCGAGGTCCGTGTGTGCACAGCCGCCAGCTCCAGCCATGAAATGTACTCCGTCTGGTCTGAGCAGGCGGAAACAGAGATGCAATTTCATGCCAACAGAGTCATAAAATTGAACGGCACCGCCTGACCTGCTGGCTAACAACACAAAAAGTGCATTTGAGTACTGGCATAAAACTTCTACAAAAAGAAATGAACTGTCTGTTGTAAGATGTTTAATTTACATGAACTTACATGTATAAGATATATTTCCACCATAGGATTAGAAAATCGTATATTGTCTTACCATACCGTACCTTATCTTATCGTACAGTATCGTATATTTGAGAATGGAGATTTTTCAAGGGAGCTAAAGCATGTGGCTTATATATAAAGAAAACAATACCAGTGCAAATGCCCTTTACTTTTTGCTGTTTTTAGTTTATATCTGCACTGAAAGTCCTTTAGAAGCAATATCTAGGTGTTCCAATCTGGAAAGGGCAGATCCTTGCATTTTGACTTGTGCTACATAGACACAAAACTGAGTTGAATCTATACAGAGGGGAATATTTCACTTTCCTCTTTGCACCTGCCAGCCTGATATCCTACATTAGTACATGTTTGCACAGTGGTTCTCAGAGTGCCTTTGACTTTGCGAAAGTCTGCAAGCCTAAAGTGAAAACACTGCAAAGATCAAAGAGGCCTGCTATTAACATATCATATGGACATGCAACACCGAGCTGTTCGTTCATTAGAGTCAGAGCAGGTTAATCTCTGTTATTACTTAATTATATTTCAGTAAATGAAGTGCTATAATTAGGAAATCGCTCGAGGGATACAGTGTTGCTTGTTTTGAATACCATATCAGTTTGGCTTAGAAAATTAAACTGTCAACACTACTAAATACATACCATTTCATTTTACGGATTCGTTCTCACCTTGTGTGTGGAACTTAACCTTTAATATAAGAACTGTTAATGAAAATCTACTTGATACAAACACTTTATTAATGGGATAACACATTTTTATTGTATTTTATCATCATTTTTAGTAGTAGCCTAAAATAATTTGAATGATCATATCTTTCCATTTATGTGTGTTTGCTGGAAAGCGCCTGAAGTATTTTTAGATAACTTTGAAGATTCATGATTTAATAAGCACCACCAAAGTTGAAAAAATATATATCTTAAGTATTATTTATTTAACAGATTAAAGCTCAGCTTGTCTTATTAAATTAGGGCACTGGGTGTAGTTGGATCACAGTTTAGTGATGATGACCAAACAACTTACTGTCATCAGATTCTGTTTTCAAATTGTCCTAACATCTGATTGGTGCAGAGAAGAACATGGCATCTCATTGTCCAACAAAGCCCTGCATACTTTAAAACAGAATCGGCAAAGTGTTTTAGAGATAGAGACAACAAGTTGCTAATAGTTTAGTCTTCTTAGCCATAGCCTTCTGGCCAGATCCAAAAAACGGAAGGCTAAACTATTAGTAACATTCACTCAAAAATTGTCCGACTCTCTGTTTGATAAATCCGTCAACCTTTTTTGGGTTGCTTTGCAGTGCAGGCAGTTGTTGCCAACGCTTGAATAGCAGCAATACTACACCATTATATCAAGCTTTTATACGGTGGCCGACAGGTGCAAACACGTTAAAACGGACTAAAACACTTCCATTAAGAGAAACGCACTGCACTTTCAAAAGCGATGCAAATGTAAAAACTAGGGCTGTCAAGTTAACGCGTTAATAACGCGTTAATAACGCGTTAATAACGCGTTAATAACGCGTTAATAACGCGTTAATAACGCGTTAATAACGCGTTAATAACGCGTTAATAACGCGTTAATAACGCGTTAACGCAAAACATTTTTAACGCCACTTATTATTTTAACGTGCGAGTAACACATGTGTATTTGTCCTCGGCCCGCCCCGTAGTTTCAGAGCCCAAAGGCTTGACGTTGTTGTCGTTGTTGTTGTTAGTTGGATGGTGGGAGATTCTAGCGAGAGATATGGATACAAAAAAAGGTGTTTCAAACAGCAAGCCAAGCACACAGCTGATGCTGACAGCCCCGCTCCTGCCGCTCGCTTGCGGCAGACCACGCTTGAAAGTTTGCCGGGGAGACGCCTGGACAACAACAGCGATAGCTAAATGGGTGGCTACAGCTTAACATTGTGGAGGACGAGGGGCTGCGTTAGATAATTCGGATCGCATCCAACGTGTCGACTGCACAGTGGGAACTTCAGTCTCATGCTTTGACTCTTATGAAGACAGAGGAGCGGCATTTCGCCGACAACTGTAAACAGGCTTGTCTGTTTGAGAAACTGGCTCAGTGCAAAGAAGTAGAAAGGGTTGGGAGAGAGTGTAAGAGAGAGAGAGAGAGGTTCCAGGTTGTTGTATAGAAAATATTATAGCGAATATTTGTCATTGTTCAGAGGTTGTTGTGTTGAGAATATTCAGGAGAATATTTGTCATTGTTCCAATGATAATAAACAAACATTTGCATAAAGCAAAACTTGAAAAATATTCCTCTAAGGTACATTTAGAACAGATAAAAAATGTGCGATTAATCGCGATTAACTATGGATATCATGCGATTAATCGCGAATACATATTTTAATCGACTGACAGCCCTAGTAAAAACACAAATGTGGCAAAACATTTTAGGACCTGCAGCTCGTTTCTGCTAATGGAAATGTTTGAGATGTTTCTACGGGGTTTGTACCTGGCTGTAATCGTACTTTCACAGTCTGAAGGGATGCGCATGTGAATCTGGATTTGTACATTTGTACTAGGAACAATCTCTCTCTATAAACGCTTGCGGTTGGCTAAAGACACAGGCTAGATTTTCTAAAGCCTGAAAATAAAGCCAAGAGATGGAGGAGGACAAAAAGAAGAAATTCTTCAAGGTAAAATGGTAATGCGAGTAAAATCCTAGCAGGCAGTAATGTTATTGCAGTAATGTCTTATAACGTCAGTATAGCTGCAGCTTCATTGTATTTCAAATATAATTTTATGTCACACTTCAATTGCTTTTAATAACAGGTGTTTACGCAAGAGTTAATCTGAAAGAGGTTTCCAGAGTCAATGACTGATTTCACTCTCTCCAGCACAGTTCTTGTGAGTATCAATTCGAAGCTGTTGAATAAAATACCTACAGACAGTTCAGCCCTCTGAGATAGGAATAATAAAACACACTGTCTAGCTGTGGTCAAGTGGGACATTCATCATTCTGCAGCTCGACAGCAGTGACTGGCTGGTGCTTTATTCTGATTAAACAGCCAACCAATAAAATGCTACAGCCTTAGTTTGTGTACAGAATGAGACTTCAATAAACCACTCAATCAAGCTAAGTTCCTATCCCAGCTATTAGGATTATTTTTTATCGTTTGTGTCCTCATTACTCAATCACAACGGAGAAGGAACATGAAAGATGAGATTAAGAAATGTATGTGAAAAAAGGGTCCAGGACAAACTGTGATCTGTCAAATGATGAACCAGGAGAACCCTTCTTTAAATCCAGGATTAGAATTCTGTTGCCTCATGTTGAGCTTTGTACAAAGGTTACTTGGTCAGACTATAATAACGTTACCATGTTGTCTTCTGGTCTGAAGATTAAATGTAATCATCTTTCTATCGTGGAAAATGTAATTCTTCACTGCTGTCTGAATGGCAGATGGCGTTGTGGTGGAATGTATTCATGTAATACAACAAATTGGGTTTCTGTGGGCTGCTGAGCATGTCAGATCACAGCAGAAAGTTCAGATGATCATAATGGGACAGCTTTGAGCAGCTTCACTTGTAAATGTAATTAGATTATAAAAAAAGAACTGATTTGTTAGTGGGTACAAGGGCACAGTGTGTTCTCTCAAAGGGCTCAATATTAAATGAGTACAAAAAAGATGAAATAAATTAATACAAATAACGCATATATACGTATTTATGTTTTATATTAAAAAAATTCAAAGCCCACTTTATTAAGAAATACATTTTATAATTTATATTTCCAATTTAACTTGTACAAATATTAATATGTATTCAATGCTTTTGTTTAATAATGCCACTTAACAAATTGTGTAACAAATGTTTACCCCATATTTAAGCAAATTAATGGTGCTCTTAACTAATAATCCCACAATGCAATTTGCTCAGGAAGGAAAAGAGTGATTTTGGATAGCGAGAGAGCTAACATTAAACTGAGCGGCTAGCTGCTGCTGCTATCATTAGCTTTTAACATTAATGCTAATGCTATAAAACCCAGGCTCACAAGCCAACCAACAACTTAGCTGGGGTTCTTAAGCTAAATTAGAGGTGCATTGTTGTATTCCAACTGTGAATATGGCAGCGGCAGCTTCAAGTTGGTTCATTCAGTAATCATTTAGCATTTTGTTGCACTAGCTTACAAGGCTTAGCTCCTTAAATGTGAGCAACATGCAATTAGCCTGCTAAAGACTGGGGGAGCATGATGATTGGCTAAGAGGTGAGGGGGGGCGGACACTGGGGACAACTGCACTTTCATGTGCATTAAAAAGAGCCATTGGGAATAATGTCATAAGTAATAATGACAGACTTAAAAAAATACTTTTAAAACATACAAAAATTCTATAAAGAAAAATAATATTCAATAATACCGATAAGGAATTACATTTTAAATGTAGATTTAAGGATTTATTTATTGATTTTTTCCGCAATTTATGCAATATTTATACATTCTACTTCATGTATTCATATTTATTCATTATTGCGTAATGTCTCATATGTTAATTTCACACTGAACACTTTGAGCTCAAAACCCTCCTCCCTCCACTTCCCTTCCCTTTTTTTCTGTACCTATATTTGCCATTTCAGGCACGATGGCGATGTAGGGGCCGTCGTCAAAGATAGGTGGGTTGTCGTTGATATCCTGCACCCGAATTATGAACTGTGACGAGGGCTCCAGGGCCCGGTCCGTCTGCCTGTCGGTGGCCGTGGCGACGAGGCGGTACTCGTCCTTCTCCTCTCGGTCCAGTGGCTTGGTGACGTGAATGTTGCCGGTCTTCTCGTCGATCACAAAGACAGAGCCGGCCCCCTCGCCTCGCAGGACGTACTTAGTGCGTCCATCATTCCTGTCCATGTCGGTGTGGAGCTAGGTGAGAGAAGATTGGATGGGGGGGGGTGAAGAGCGTGGGGGAAGGGAGACAAAATAGAAGCAAGAAAGGAGGAAATGGAAAGTGGAAAGATGTGGAAAGAGGAAATTAGGGTGGGAGAGAAAGACAAGAGTAAACACCCGTTAAAAATTAAGTTTGTTTTTTCGAGACAAGGCATTGAAGACAAAACAAGCAGATTAATCCTCCGCATGCCTCCGGGATATGATGAATTTAAACAGACGCAGACAAAAGAAAAACCCACAAAACCTCCCTCCCTCACACATATTTGTTCTCATTGTGCTGTGTCTCGTGTTATGAGCAGTTATGAACCAGGATCTTCTAGATACCCGATTATATCCAGATCACTTTTCCCCTGCTCGCTCTTAAAGCCTCTATTCACTTCCCAGCAGCTGTGGACGACAGGAGTTTACTAGTCTGTGCACATGCAGTGCCGTGGCAATTTAATGAAAGCACCAAATCAAAGGAATAATGAACAGTAGGCCAATCAATTATTCCCTAACTAATAGGTGTGTATGAGGGAGAGTATAGCAGTGCATGGGAGCGGGACAAGCTGAATCGATCACAGCCTCGTGTTGAGCTTTATTGGATCACGGTTTGGGTGATAGCAGAGCAGCGGAGCGCCCAGCGTCCTCTCATGCAGTGAGAGGTAATATCAGGAAAGGCTCCACACTGTCCTCCGTCCCCGAAGAGAGGCACCAAGATTCAATCTCATTACCTCTCACCTACGTGGATCGAAATAGCAACCGAGAAAAAAAAGTGCCAAATTAGCCGCCACATCCAAGAAAGTGTGACATTGTGACTTTTGAAAGGAGAGAAGATCGGAGAGACAGTTACGCAGGGGGTGAGGGGAGTGAGGGGGTGGGGGGTTAGCTCAGGAAAGCATTGTTGCATGGCAACGGCTAAAGCAAATTTACTAAATGAAATGAGAATGGATACTGTGAATCGAAATGTTCGTCTACTTTGAGGATCGGTATTTGTTCAGGGTGGGGGGGATAGCATTGGATATGCCGGCTTCCCGGGGGGTAAATGATAAGTATGGATGTTGACAAGGTTGTTTAAGAAAAGCAATCATAAGTTCACACGTGTCTGAAAGTTGAAAGGTAGAATGGTGTGAATAATTTGGCAAAAAAGTCAAAAGGTAAACAACAATTCACCTTCAAAAGATCCCTTTATTGAAATGGCAATGCAAATCGGGAAACATGAAAGCACTCTATGCTCCATGGTGAGTGTTGTGTGAGAACAGTGTGCACTTTTACTAGAAATAGACCTAATATACACCTAAAATAGAACTAGCTTTTACTATTAAGCTTCAGACATTTGTTCTTGCTTGATTTGTCCTTCTGAATTAATTAAACCTTTGTGACAAACAAAGAGCTGAGCCAGAAGGCAAAGCTTTCAATCTACTGATCCATCTTCGTTCATACTCTCGCCTATGGTCATGAAGGGTGGGTCATAACCGAAAGAACGAGATTGCGAGTACCAGCCGAAGAAATGGGTTTCTCTCTGCTCGAACTGCTTCCATCGCGACCCGAATCTAGATTATTGTTTGACGATGAAAGGATGGATGTTTGGGTTATTTATCCCAAAAAACACCATCTATAACTCTGACTACGCTCAATATTTACTGCAAAATTAAGACCTGCCCTGTAAACTAAATGACAGCCCCATCTATACATGTGTAGTTAAAGTAAAGCAAACAAATAGCCACCTGGCAGAAGCACTGCTGCAAAACATTCACGCAAACAGGTGTAAGCCTCAATGTTGCCATATTTCAAAATGACACGGGGAAATGGTGTACAATCAGCGCTGAGTGAGCAAAACTGTGTGAGCTAAATCGCCTGAAATTACCAGCGAGGAGAAAAAAAAACAAACACACGTCTTATTTCGTAACCATCCACAGACAAAGCAGCATGCTCACGGAAAACAATAGGCCATTAAGGTGAGCTATTAGGTCGGGTTGCTGTCAAAACTATCTCCGTCTGGCTTTTTCTTTTGTATAAAAGGTCAGAGGTATAAACTTAACCAAAGGTTGCTGCTGCCAACTGTGGAGGTTTTCACATTGGATATTGTTGAAAGCAGGGTCAAACGAGTTCACTGAAAAGTCTTACATTTGAACCCTACACTGAGTTTAGACTTGCTCTGCGTCTTATATAGGGGCCAATTGGGGACAATTGGACAAAACAGCAGGCCGGTCGGGACCACCATGGGAGATTCACTCTTTTTTAACGAAGAGCCATTAACAATCAAAGTCTTAACGGCCCTGTAGCTTAACGAGGGGACTTAACGAGCTTCTTAATGAAGCCCCGGCCATCATTACCACAGTGAGCGGTGGCGCTGATTGAAGGCGCTGCTCAGAGTCATTCAGGAGCAGGGGAACCCAACCAGAGGAAACCAAATCCATTTAAGGCTGACCTATCACCCTTATCTGTTCCTCCTAGATTAATAGGAAAGTATAATAAGGATAACGCACTCAAGCAGATATAACGGCGGCGGTTATTTTACGGCTACAGCGTTGGCACAGCTTTGGAATATCTTTCAGCAACCTGTCAGCGTGCGAGAATACCCAAACAATATTCTAACAACAACAACTGGATATCAACATATTTCACATCCGCTTAACTTGAATAATATGACATCTCATAACTCCTGCGTTTCATATCGCCCCCGTGATACACCATCAAATATATCAAAAGCCAAACAATATGAAGGCACAGGCCACAAAAGCCAAATTTACTGATGTGTCTCCCCTGCTTGGAGAGTGATTCCAGCCTGATAAGCTGCCATTTCCATTTTGCCTATTGCCGGTTGTGTATGCAACACCCGGCCTCCCCAGACTCCTAAATCTCTTCAATTACTTATATTATCATAAGGTAATATGCTTATACTCATATACTCAATTTCACATTTCTGCAATAACCATAAATCAAGAAGCGAGGAGGAAAAGTACTCTATGCCGACCTCTAAATCATTTAAATAACTAATATCCCGTATACACAATTTCACATTTCCGCAGCGCGATAAATCATAAAAACACCAGGAAAAAGGGTTTTTTTTTCCCACAGCTGTGCATTAGCCTAATGAATGTGGATGTTATCCCCACAAATTCAGTGTGAGTGTGTGTGTGTGTGGTCGCTGTGATGTGTGGGGCTGAGAGGGAGGTGAGGTTACACTAGCAGAAAAACAAAAATGTGGGAAATGGGCTCAAATGAAAAAATAGGCAGTACAGTGGCACCGCTGAGCCCTGATATTGGCAGTAAGGTTCAATTCCCAGAAAAACATCAGGGAGAGTTTGCAAGGGCACACAGGCAGGTGGGAGAATATCCTCCAATCTCATCTGCAAGGAGGAGAAGGAAGCTATTCATCTTCTATGGGGCGACTTCAAAAGAACCGCAGGCCTGTAGGACAACTGTGAGTCAGTCAAACTCCACAACAAGGCTGGGTGGTGGTCTCGCTGGGGGCCGGGGCTTATGCCAGCTCTTTTTATATCAGCCAGGCGGTGTCAAGCAGGGCAGAGGGGAGAGGGTCAGCCAATCGATTTGGAGCAGGCCCACCAATTCAGAGAGGTGTTCTGAAGAAACTGGCCGATCAGGGGAAAAAACGGCAAATTCATTTGGGACGTTGCCCGTTTGAGTTCAGAGAGCCTTGTTGGAAATAAAAGCGTGCCTCTCTACCACTGAGATGTCATTAGCTTTGCCTGAGGGTGTGTACGTGTTTGTGTGCATGTGTGTGACTGTTTTAAAGAAAGTCTTTTGAGGTGTGTGTGGTGGCTTTAAAGAAGGAGGTGTAATGACTCCGACTCTCCTCCTGCCCTGGCTGAACCTCCACTTGGCACAGTCATCGCAAACAGATAACAAGGAGCCAAGGCGTGACTAAGGAGTGTGCGTGTGTGTGTGTGTGTGTGTGTGTGTGTGTGTGTGTGTGTGTGTGTGTGTGTGTGTGTGCATGTGTGTGTGTGTGTGTGAGTGTGTACTTTGTGTGTGCCTGACCTGGAGAGAGAAGAAACAGTTGAGAGCAGGTCAGGCAGTGTGGAGCGGTTAATAGAACACAGCACAAAGCTGAGGCCAACATCTACACAGCGACTAGTAATTAAAGTCAACTCCTCTCTGGGCTGGCTGTGGTTAGCTCTGCCATCATCTCATGTCTTCTCCTTCTCTCCCATCTGGAAAGCAACGGATCCCCATCTGGGCCTCACGCAAAACCAAACACAAACAAGTGCTTAGACACAGGTATAGCAGGATTGTGTCCCTCAAAATCAAGGAAAGGATCATAGGGGCCCTATTATGCATTTTGGGTTTCGCTTCCCTGTAGTGTGGTATAGGTTTTTGTGTATTTCAATTGTCGGTAAAGGCTAAAATCCCAAAGTTCCGTCCAACGGGGGCTTCTCTCCCGCCGTGCTTAAAACGCCTTAATTGGACTCCTGTGTTTATTTCTGCCACATAGTGACATCGCTTTGTAACGCTAGTGCTTCTATTAGCTAGCGCTCCAACACATAGTACGTGATAGACTTCTCTAAGTGCTTGGCCAATCACAACAGAGCCGGCCAGCTAACCAATCAGAGCAGACTGGGCTCTGGTTTCAGACAGAGGGAGAACAAATATGCTGCAGCACAGGCTGTATGAGGAAAATAAAGAGCTTTTTGAACATTAAAGCATGGAGACATGAAACGGTAGCACAAAATAGCATTAGTATAATAGGACCCCTTTAACTGAAAGTCATATTTATCAGTAAGGAAGTGTATAACAATGATTAGGGTTAGGAAAGAGGCTAAGCCCTTCAATTTAAGTATGTTTTGACAATTTGTTTAAATAAATGTTTGATTTAAAGACTAGTAAATCATTAAATATGCTTTTGTTTTAATGAATTCACTGGAATACTAGTACGTTTACAGACATGATAACCCATAAAGTAACCATTTTATTATGATAATTCGCTTTTGCCAAACTATAATACACTAAAATCTTGTTTTTTAAAACTAAGA